ATTCTTTTTTATGGCTGCATAGTATTCCATGGTGTATATATACCCCATTTTCTTCATTCAGCCTATCATTGATGGGCATTTGGGTTGGTTTCATGTCTTTGCTATTGTAAATAGTGCTGCAGTAAACATATGTACATGTGTCTTTATAGTAGAATGATTTATATTCCTTTGAGTATACACCTAGTAATGGGATTGCTGGGTCAAATGGTATTCTTGAGGAATCACCACACTGTCTTCCAAAATGGTTGAACTAATTTACAATCTCACTAACTGTGTAAGAGCATTCCTAATTCTCCACAGCCTCATCAGCATCTATTGTTTCTTGACGTTTCAATAACCGCTATTCTGACTGGCATGAGATAGTATCTTATTGTGGTTCTGATTTTCATTTCTCTAATGATCAGTGATGATGAGCTTTTTTTTCATGTTTGTTGACACATCAATGTCTTCTTTGGAGAAGTGTCTGCTCATATCCTTTGCCCATTTTTTGATGAGGTTGTTTGACTTTTCTTGTAAATTTGTTTAAGTTCTTTGCAGATTCTGGATATTAGACCTTTGTCAGATGAGTAGATTGCAAAAATTTTCTCCCCTTCTGTAGGTTGCCTGTTCACTCTGATGATAGTTTTTGTTTGTTTGTTTGTTTTCTGCTGTGCAGAAGCTCTTTAGTTCAATTAGATTCCATTTGTCAGTTTGGCTTTTGTTGCAATTGCTTTTTGTGTTTTAGTCAGGAAGTCTTTGCCCGTGCCTAAGTGCTGAATGGTATTGCCTAGGTTTTCTTCTAGGGTTTTTATGGTTTGGGGTTTTACACTTAAGTCTTTAATCCATATTGAGTTCCATGATCTTTTTGGCTTTAGGGGGTACTAGGGGTTACTGTGTTCTGTGAGAAAGCCCTTGGCCAGTGTGTGCACAATAGCTACCGGGTCACTGGCCAGGGAAGCAATATGGAGGCGTCTGAGAGCAGTTGCAGTAAATGGTTGTTACTGCAGCGGGCTGTTCATTTCTTTGTGCATTTAGAGGGGGGAAAAAGCACAATTTAAACACTTTGAGGCTGTGGAAACATTTGCCTTCAAGGGCGATAAGACTCCCATTGGAGATACGCTGATCAGAGAGTGAGCTGATGGATGTTGGGTCACCCACTAGCATCAGGGAAACAGATTTTGAGATGCACCATGGAAGCATTGTATGGTCCATTCTCAAAGCATTTTCCTCTTTTTTGAGGACCTACACTGGGAACAACATAGATATTGTATACCTTTTCATGTGATGCACCTCATGAAACATTCTTGCCAAAGTAAGATTGAATCTAAATCTAACCAAACCTCTAAATCTAACTATTCTTTACCAGAAATGCAGGGAAAAGAAAAACAATTTAATTCTGTCAGTAAGAAGCGATCAGAAAAATCCAGGTGATAGTAAATCCTAAACAAAATTGACTGGTTTATGCTGACAAATTAATAGCATTTAAAAAAGTGGGAGGCTATCCTTGACACTTATGCACAGCAACCAAATGCAATGTATGACCTGTATGTGGAGACTAATTTGAAGAACTTAGATATTTTTGAGATTATCAAGGAATTTTGAATATAGACTGGGCATTGGATAATATTGGGGAATAGTTGCTAATTTTTTCGGTATTGTGATGTAAAAATTTATTTTGTAGTATTTACAAGTAAAAGAGTATGATATGTGGGTATTTCTTTAAAATATTTCAGCTTATTAAAAAAGTAGGGGAGCTGAATGAAACAAGATTGGCAAAATATCATTGATTACTGAAGCAGGCTGTACATTGGCATTCATTACTATTGTTTTTACATATGTTTGAAATGTTCCACAGCAAATATTATTTTATAAACCTTACATAGAGTTTCCCAAGTGATGTGGGGTAATATCTGTGCTTCAATGGAAAATTATGCATTACATAGACTCTAGATGGCACCTCTTGCATTACTGGATTCTCATTCTATCAAAGCTATCTCACAATTCTATGATCTGTGGATAACTGATAGCGATGGCAAATGATTCTTGTCTGAGAACATGCTAATTCTGCCCTGCCTGGAGTTTTGATTGACCTCTCCCCCTCACTGTGAAAGAAGTTAGTTTTGCCTCCATTTGCACAGTCCTTTCAACATCCTTTACTCCAGGTAAATGTGTGTTTTTTTTCACTTCTTTGAACTTGCAATAACATCTGCCTACTTTCCTCCTTCCCAGTTGAATAAAATCTTTAACACATGTTCATTTTTATATAAGCGTCATAATTTTATGTTTTTTTGAAAATGTTATCTTTTAACAGTGACAAATATTTGTCTTTTCTGTGAAGCTGAAAGTAAAATAAATTGGTATACTTATGAATTATTATGTTAATAAATAACTGTTAAATAATTTCAGAGTAAATTGTAAGGTAGCTACAAAAGTCAACTAGCTTTTCCTTTCAGTTTTGTTCCTATTTCCTCATACTATTAGTTCCAGAAACCCTTATGGAATCTTTCAACCAGAGACCTGGATGCATTTTCAGTAAACACAGAGCTCACCAGAGTAAAATATGGGCATAGAACATTTGAAAACACGTCAAAACGAAAATTGAGTAACATCTTTAGAAAACTTATGCCAAGAATTCTAAAATTTTTTGTAAATCCAAGCTAACATTGTTGAAAAACAGAGGCACGATCTGTGTAACTTACTCCCAAAGTAATTAAGTTTTAGTGTAAATTTTTTACCTTATATGTCTGCCCCATCAATTCTTCAACATTTTTCTCTCTTTCCCTTAATGGTGCAATCTTTTCTACCACTGGACTAACTGCTGAGATTGGCATTGCTTTCCACTTGAATTACAGATGTCCACCTCTCCCACTGCCACCTCTCGGGTATTTAGGAGCCACCTCTCAGTGCCATCTGGGCTCCATGTTGGCTTCATTTTCACTGAGTTTAATGACAATCAATCAATCAATCAATATTGTTGATTTCTTAGAATAGTTTCACAGTTGCAGAAATAATAGATGTATCAGCTCTAAAAAGGGATACCACAGTGAACGAAACCAAAAATATGCCACTGCACAATATACTCCTTTGGTTTATTTTGAGATGGCTATTCAGAGGAACTGTCAGCACAAGAATAGCCCTGAAATCCTAGGCAGTGTGGGTAGTGTTCCTCTGTGTTCTCACAGCACGGTCTGTCTCCACACTTGTTTTGTACACTTGTCACACTGACTTGTAAACCGTTATTCCAATAGCTTCTGTCTCACTCTGAATATAAGCCAAAGCTAGGGATCTTTTGTCCCATGTATAGTTACTTTCTGATTGGATTGGGATTATTTATTTTAATGCTTCCCATCTTCCTTAGAATAGAAGCCAAAGCCCACAGCCCTCCAATCCCAGATACCCCTGGGCCAGCTCGCTCACCTCAGTCAGGTGTTTATTCCAACGTCACTGTAGGTGTTGCCCATGTTTTGGCTTTGTTTCCCCATAGCATCGACTACTGTCTCTTATATTATATTATTTACTGATTTATCTTGTTGATCGTCCATTCTCTCCCCCAAAAGAATTAAAACTCTTTGAAAGGAAGAGTCGTATCTGTTGTGGTTACAGGAGCGCCCTCAGGACCTAGAACAGGGTCTGGACACAGTAACCACGCAATCACTCTTCTTTTAATGAATGAAATGGCAGTCCCTTTCTCCACCCCCTGAGCTTCTTAAAAGCAAAGATTTGGTTTAATTAGTTTTTTTCCAAGTCCAGTATTTACCTGGAGCATAGTATGCATTTAATAAGAAATGGGGGTGGGTGTGGTGGCTCATGCCTGTAATCCCAGCACTTTGGGAAGCTGATGCAGGCGGATCACCTGAGGTCGGGAGT